CCTCTAGCCCAGCTGTGTACCCTGGGACTGCGCCGAGACACAGCGGGAGGAAAAGGATGAAGAAGACTTTCTGAAGGTGCCAGTTCATTGTAAAGACACGGCCATTGTGAATATGGGTTCCCTGGTCACCATCAGCTGGGGGAGTGATGGTCCACCTCGCTGTAACAACAACATCAAAGGCCCACAGCTCAGCTCGGCTTAGTGCTGCACCATGTTTTATGGTCCAAAGTATGAAGAGAGCCGCTCCTGCACTGTGAGCAGGATGTGGGAATTTAGAAGATGATTGCACTTTGGCAATGAGGGTCAATCTGTCCATACAAACAGGCATTGTTCTTCCTTCATGCCCATTCGTGGAATTAATTAGTAATTTGCATGATGTGGTCACGACTGTTTTGGACCATCCACTTTTGATGGTTTGCATTGTCCTTAACGGGCATTACTTGTAAATATTTGATTGGCTGCACAAAGTAAAAGTGTTTTGGGCCAGGACTTGGATCCATGCGTTAGGTTAATGCAGCATTCCTCAAGAGGATTGTGTAGCATTCCTCAAGAAGCAGGTACTGCTCACCTGTGTTTTTCACCTGGACTGTGTGGGTGTCTGTACAATGCTGTTGCCCCTCAAAGTGGTGGGGGGGTGCGCAATATACCTACCGAAAGTGAGGTGCCTGCCCTCACAGGGTGAAACATTAACCTCGCTCCCTCCAAGGGTGACTGCAGCCCTTTCCATTGCCACCACCCACATGTTAGTTCCAGCATGATGGAAGGAAGCAATGGTTTCTCCTCACTCAGAGAGTCTCAGGATTAGCCTCTGATCCTGGTGAACTCCGACACGTACACATCACCTTCATGGATGTCCAGCCTGATAGACTGCAGACGCTGTGAACTTGCCCAGGTCATCACCTACCCCATCTTCTAACTCTTCATCTGTCCACTTTTACCCCCAGTATATCAAGTAAATATTCCCAAATGTCAAGGTGTTGCTGCCTGTTATTGACCTCGCTCCCAATTCAACCTGTTCCCTTCCATACTCTACCATTCTCCACCTCACACATATTATTGAGCTGCTGCACCCAATTCCCACAATTTAGATCCACCCCTCCTGCAGTGCTCTAATAGCCCTGTTAAATGTTTAGTGGCCAGAACCACAGGACTGACCATGACCCACCCTCCTGAGCAACAGAGGCAGCTAGCCCTGACTGATGAGTGACCAGGTGCCCGACTGATCTCTGCACACATCCCCGACTGCATTCCCATCACCCCTGGACTAGTTTCCCTGGATCCACAGGGTGAAAGTGACCCACACCATGGACTGTAGATGTTCAGACTCCCGATCCCTGACTCTGACAGCCCAGACCAGCTGACTGGCCTTGCCTAACCCCTGGACTGATGTTTGGGTTCCCCCCTTGATCTATTTGTGCCTGGACCCTCAGACTGAAGATATCTCCACGTAGACTTTGAGACATGGCTATTTGCTTGAGGCGGTGTCTTTGGCATGCATGTTACTGGCATAGAGTGTAGGTATAAATGAGCACAGCATTGTCCCATACAGCAACGTATCCACACCTTTCACTGTCGACAAGCAGGGATAGCTGTTGGGTTCATGTCTGCACTAAACAGCAAGGCAAGAAAGCAATACTGTGAGCTTTTAAGGTCAAGCTATGAAGTCAAAACTAGAAGAGACAAAGCAGGGATGCTGTAAGCATTCAAGTCAACTCAAAGTGACCGAGTACTAAGAGTGTCAGTGAGCAGTCCCTGAAATGCAGCCTGATCCATCAATGGGCTGGGACCCTGTCCCCATGAGCAACATGAACATGCAGCAACATTGCAATGACAGGAGTTGGTGCATTCCAAAATGTAGGAATGAGTTGCAGACATGTCCTGTAAGCTGACCAGCACAGTGAGGCTGGTACATGTAGGATGCCAATGACCATGAGGTATGGGTTATGTGCAGCTGCTGCCTATGGAGTATTCCTGAGAAGTTGGTGTCAAGTTGCCATCCGGAGGAGCAAGCAGTGAACTCAAGTCATCAGGTGCCCACTTGGATTTTCATGTCAGGAATTCTCAGCATTTAGTTTCCATGATGAGTGGGAGAATATGAGCCTCATCTTCATGAGGCAAGCTCAGTTAGTAACAATGAGCAGTAGACCCCATTAATAGGCCTCTTGCCACTCTCGAGCAAGAATCTAGGCCTCAACATCCAGGACTTGGTTGAAAAAAGTGAAACTTCAGTCTTGACATTGGGATAGGTTTCGCTCAACATTTCACTCAATCTTTCAAAATGTCTCACCATAGCCCATGTCACTCAGGGCCTGGGAAGATCCCACCCAGAGTTAACAACTCAAGTCCAATATGAATCATGTTCAAACTCAGTCAGGATAATTGTTTTAGAAAATAGCACAAGAACGATCATTACTTGAAATCCAAGGCTCAGATGCATTGATGGGGACAGTGTAAATGGTATTATTGTATTGCATTGATCCCAGAACAGACAGGCAGTGTCTCTTTGATATGGAATGACATTACAATATATGACAGTCTTTAATACAGGAACCCATAGCAGGAGGAGCAGGAACTGGAGGAACAAGGACACCATAAAGCAGTTTTTGGATAAAATAGTAAACAGGTACCCCTTCTGCCTGTTTGATTGGATGGAAAAGTTCCCAGGACACTCCTACAAAGAAAAGTAGGTGGGTTTTAATCCTTGTTATAAAAACAGCAATCTCTTTGCATGCCTATGCCTATCCTCCCTTTCTCACTCTGGGTGCCATTTTGATATAATCTATTTACTGGCACATACACCTATTTCTGTAACTACCTCCATCATCTACACCCCATCCTATCTCTGTAACATTCTTTATCCCCACACTCTTCCCTAACTCTGTTATCTCCTCTCTACACCAATCCCTATCTCCATAACCTCCACCTAGCCCTGCAGTCCTCAATCTCTGGAAGGTCCTCCAATCCCCACAACCTTCTCCATCTCCATCCAGTGTCCCACACATTTCCCTATCTCCATAACCTCCTCCAGCCCTAAGCCCCTCCTTAATCTGTAACTTTCTACAGCCTCTACACAACTTCCTCCCTCTGTCACCTCCTGCAACTCTTACACCCTTCCCTATCTCTGTAACCTCCTTCAGGCCCTTTGCTCCTCCCTATTTCTGTAAACTCCTCCAAACCCCACATCCCTCCCTATTTCTGCTACCTCCACCAGCCCCACATCCCTCCCTATCCTTCCCAGCCCCCACATCCCTCCCAGCGCCAGGGATCCGGGTTGCACATTCTCCTCGTGTCTGCATGGGTTTCCTCCAGGTGCTCCAGTTTCCTCCCACAGTCCAAAGATGTGCAGGTTAGGTGAATTGGCCATGCTAAATTGCCCATAGGGATGTGTAGATTAGGCAGGTTATAGGGGGATGAGTCTGGGTGGGATGCTCTGAGGATCAGTGTGGACTTGTTGGGCCGAAGGGCCTGTTTCCACACTGTAGGGATTCTATGATTCTATGATTTCTGTAACTTCCTCCAGTCCCCAACATCCCTTCCTATTACTGTAATCTCCTCCAGCCCCTACACTGCTCCCTGTCACTGTGACCTCCTCCAGCCAATTCAGTCCCCCAAGTTCTCTGTGCTCCTACGTTCTGGCTTTTTCAGTATCCTTCATTCCTTCCCTGAACGTTTCTGTTTCTCTGACTCCCTTTCTTTCTTTCCAGTGTTCCTTTCTTTTTGATGCTCCTTAAACTCTGCCTCTTTTACCAACATTTGCTCATTCACTGTTATTTGGCTCGATTTCATATATTTTGCAACAATCCTGTGATACGCCTTATTAAAGTTAGAGGTGATATATAAATACCAGTTGGTGATGTCGCTAAGTGTGATGATGTGCATTGTTTTTGGAATATGCGAAGTTAAACAGGGTCATGGAGCAAAGGGCTTTTGGGGTAAAAATACATAAATTATTTAAAGCAAAGGCACAAATATAAAAACTAGTAAAACAAAAGTATAAACAAATAATTAATATTCATTTCTAGGAGGTTGTGTTGAATTATTTCCTGCAAGGAGCATTGTGAATAACCTGGACTCCCTGTTATAAAAAAAAGAGGTTTCACTAAGATTCATAAGAATTGTACCAGAGTTGTGATGTTCTCACTCTCCAGGAAAGTTGAAACATTCAGGAGTTTGTTTTCTCTGAAAAATTGAAGACCAAGGGCTGATCTGATCAGGGGCTTCAAGTCTGTGAAAGGATTTGACAGGCTCAATGCAGGGCACTTGTGGAGGAGACCAGAACAAGTGGGCTATCATATAAGGCCGTGACTAATAAATCCAACCAGAAATTCAGGAGAAACTTCTTTACTCAGCAAGCAGTGAGAATGTGGAACCTACACCAACAGGGAATGCTCAGGGTGAATCATTTGGATGTTTTCATGGGGGAGCTGAATAAGCACAGTGGGGAGAAAGGAATAGAAGGATATTCTGATAGAGAGGGGTTTGAAAAGGTTCCTAAGGAGCATGGAGTGTAGCTTGGATTAGTTAGACCAAATGACCTGCTCTAGTCAGGGTGTAATTCCGATAGTGACTAACACTTTTCATGGGGTGATAATCTTAGACCACTGCTGATGAGCACCAAGTCAGTGGGAGAGATATTTAAACGCTGAGCTACCTGAAGGAGCTACACCTGTGAAAGCCATTGCCCAGGGAGGGCGGAAACCAAATCTTACAAACCTCATCTATATGAAGCAAAACAAGAAGCAAACTTTGGTTTAAATGGGTCACCCTTTGAATAATGAAGTTACAATCTGATTGTCTGCAGCATGCTCCCCCCTCCCTCCCCGCCCCAACCCAATATGAAGGACCAGTTATTGCCTGCGAGCTGACTCTGGGGAGGGAAAAAATAGGAGCACCTGCTTTAGATGGATTACGGCTATTGGCAAACCGTGTCCTCAGCCTCACGCTGTTTGTGTGTAAGACTCAAACCCTGAGATTAAAAGCTGCTTCTTTCTCTGGGTGAGTGTGTGAGAGAGTCTGTAATGTGAGTGAGTGAGTGAGTGTCTGTCTGGAGGCGGTGGGATGTCACACAGAATGGTGGACCTTCCCGAGTCAGTGCTTCAAGCAGAGTGCTGAGGAACAGGAGCAAGGAGAGAGCGTCTCCTCGTCACACACACACAGAGAGAGAGAGAGATCTCTTTAAAAAAAACATGCAATCCAATCGTCCCAGGAGCATGCTGCACATAGTGGAAAGAAAATATCTAATATAGGAAGAAAACTGCATCACAGCCACCCCAGTACAAACAGAGAGAGAGAGAGGTTCCTGCTGCAGTCGCGCCTGGCCATCGGGAAGGAGTCGGGCTCTGAGCCACTGTGACATTGGGTTCGGAAAGGGGCTGATGGTCCAGGGGCCGTGCGGCCGACACAGGCACAGACAGAGACACAGAGAGAGAGAGAGCAGCCCCCACCACCGCCGCCCGCCGCAGGTCAGTCACTTCCCGGCCACTGGGGCGGGGCACGGACTGGGACTGGGGCTGGGGCTGGGGGAGCGATACTCAACTTTTCACGAACTTCAAAGTTTTGTGGATTTTTTTTTGTTTATTCTTTGTTGTTTCTGGAAGAGGGGATTTGTTCGGCTGAACAAAAAGTTGCAGTGGGGCGATGTGGGCGCAGGTAAAGTGCAGATCCCCGGTCACTGGGATAACCTTCCCATGTGGTTCCCAGGTGGGGAAGTTGGAAAGGGTTTTTTTTGGGAGGGGGAGTTTAAAATGATGAATCGAGTGCGGGTGAGGGAGGGGGAAGGGTGGCCGAGGAGATTGGAAAGTCTGATTGTGTTTGGGAGATATTTGAGGGGGGTGGGGGAGCAGCTGGGATTCGTTCTGTTTCGGGGTCATTTTGGAGCGTTTGATGGCGTTTCTCGTGCTCTGTTTAAAATGTACATTTCGCGCTGGAGCGGGACTATTCCCCTTTCAGTAAGTGATGGGTTCCGCACGCGTGTCGTGAGCTGGCTGGTATCTGGGCCACACTGGACCGGCCTGTCCGAGAGAAACAGGCAGAGGGAGAGACAGCGGGGGCAGAGAAAGGGGGAGTGAGACGCACCAAGTTCCCAGTCGATGTGTCCAAGGCCCCACTCCGGGCAGTGTAAACCCAGAGCCCGGTCAGAGGGCCAGTGTAAAGGAACTGCTCCATAACTGCTCCTTATGACCAGAGTGAGTGAGGAGGCTTTGGCTGTTTTGCTGGGGTGGGGGTGGGGGGGGGGGGGGCGGGGGGAAGGGGGGAGGGAATTGCAGTCAGTCTGGGAAGAGTTCCCATTGTCGGTTGGTCTGGGAGCGGAGCTGACATGTGGCGGTGCTGAGGGTAGAACTGACCCATTGGAGCTGGATGGAGGCGACCCCCCCACCACCCCCACGCCCCGGTGCCCGGGGAAGGAGCAGCTGCGGATGTTGTGCCCCCTTTTTTTATTGTTGGGCTTGCTCTCTATTCTCTGCCTGAGCCTGCCTCTGCCTGTCCCTGGGGCTTGTAGAGACAGACTCCGCTTCCCAGAGACAGTGAGATTCCCCCACCCCCGGGCACAGCCGCCCATCTCCCGGGGAGCCCCTCACTCTGGCCCGGCCACCCGCCGCCGTTCAACCAGCGGAATGTTTCCCTCAAAATAAAATACCAATCCGTTCCCCGCCCCGGGATCCCAACCCCGAGTGCCTGCGATCAGTTTGCAGCCCGTTTGGAAACGATTGCAGGGGATCATTATCGATACGTAACCAGGAGCCGTTCTGTCGATCCACCAGATCTCTGAGATCCCAGCCGCCGCTCCCTCCCCCCCAAACGGGAAAGAAAGACAAAAACACGGAGATCCGTGTCTGAAACTTCGGGCAATTTAGTTTCTAAAGTTACAGCTCGGAACCCAGAGGCTCCGCTCTTTCCCAAAGCGAACCGTCTCGCTCTGATCGAGAGCTCCCTCCCGGGATCCCGTTGATTCCGGGCTGCACATCGTGCTTAATCCGATTGTAAATGTAAATTGGAGGGAAGTTTGATTTGAAAATTGCTCCAAATTTCTTTGAAATCGGGCCGAGTGAAAAAAATCGATTCCCGGCGTTTTGTGGAGTTCCTCTGGCTCTGCTTGTGTGTGAGAAAGAGTGTGTGTGTCTGTGTGTGGGTGGGGGGGGGGGGGGGGGGGGGGGGTGGGGGGGGGGGGGTGTGTGTGGGTGTGGGGGGGGGAGAGTGTGTGTGTGTCGGAGAGTCCGTGTGTGGGAGAAGAGAGTGTCTCTATGTGTGGGAGAGTGTGTGTCGGTGTGTGTGTCTGTATGTGTGGGGGTGAGTGTGTGAATTTGGTAACATTGAGAGTGAGGAAGAGGAGTAGGAAAGATAAAGAGAGAGAGCTGGGGGTTAGAGGCGACCAGAGCTCTGTGCCAGACTCTCACAGCGTTAGGCAAATGTTTGTGACACACGAGCTGTGAGTGTTTCTCTGCCCCCAGCCCCTGGGTGCGGACAGGGTCCCACGCGCACACACACACACACACACACAGTGTGGTAGCGACTGTGCGTGTGTAAAACCAGAGTCCCCACTTTGGCTGGTGTTTGCATTTTTGTGAATGATCAAATTCTGTAAAATTGCAATCGTGTTTGTAACTTCCCAGCAAAGAGTTCGCTGGTCATTAAGGTGCAGGAGGATTTGTAATAATGTGGAACACGGTCTGACCGCGAGCAAGGCACTCAGCTCCCCCAGGATTGCGGGGAAATATGAGGGATAAACTGACCTTGCCCCTTCACAATCTTTGGAAACTTAACTAGGCCGAATATAATTCGATTTACTAAATAGACAAGAGAAATTGGAAAAAGACAGTGAGGTTTTCTAGAACATCTTCATGGAGTGCAGTTCTGAGTGAGGTCGGAATTGTTGACCGTGCTTTAGAAAGTGTAGAATATTGTCAGTGAAATGTGCCCGGAACCTACTCTGGGACAAGCGGAGAGGGTTAAATTGGGGCTGTGGCGAGAGGGAGGTCTGAATGAGTGTAAGGGACTCACACTGAGGAAAATCACGGCAGATTTCAAACCTTTTCTTTGAGTTTGTGCGGATTTCAGGGGCTCCCAGCTTGTAAAGTTTTAATATTGTTTCCAAAAGACCTGGCATAAAACATTGTTTGGTTTAAACTCGTCAATTCGTTTCACTGGAGCATGAGGGATAATTGTCCAGAAACAATAAACTGTGTGTCATTAATAAGGCGATGAAGCATCAGGGGATAGGGGCCTCTGGGATTCACGGCAGTTACAGACACGCTCGATATTTTCGATCCCAAACCCGTTGGTGAAGTTTCTTTAAACGCTGGTTTGTACTGAATTATTCAGAGTGTGGGAATTCTCCCTCTCTCTAGCGATGTGCAGGGTACCTCCAGGGTGAGTCCTGTCCTGACACTGGACAGAATCTTCCGTTGTCGGTAGACCCAGGATTTCCGCTAAACCGGCAGCGCGCAATCAAAAATCTCTCAAAGATCCGAAACTGTGGGTCCGAGCTCCCTGGAAACTCTGGGATCATTCCCAGGAATTCCCTGTAAAATTCCCGCAGGAACGGTCAGCTCTGGCTGGCCTCTCGTTACAAAGTGCATCCGCAACCATTTGGATCCGCACATTCTGCCGAATCCAACAGCAAATGCATTTTGGTCGATCTGATTGAATAGTCTCTTTTTAAAAAAATCTGAAGGAACATTTTGATACGGCATATTTTTGAAGACGCCGGTTAAATTTGCTTCCTCATCCTTTCTTCAAAAATCGTTTGACTACTGCAGAAAAAAAAGGCCTTTCTTTAAAAAAAGTAATAAAACTCAGACCATGCGCTCCTAACTGTAGTGCCGCTAAAATCTAATTTCAGGCATGTAGTTTGCAAATAGTCAGGGCGCCTTTAGGATTTGCTTTCGCAGATGGACTGGCGAGAGGCTGTGGACAGGGGTTTGATTTGCCCAGTGTCTAGCCCCTTCCCCATCCCCCAGCTCGGTCCCTCCTGCCCCCACCCCCAACACTGGATCAAAGACTGACCGAAAGTCAGCGAGCGACAGCCGAAACTTGGGAATGTCAATGAGCGCGGGCACGCGAGGAGCTACAGCCCTTTGCTCTATTTCCATTTGTTTTCCTACAAAGAGAAACCTCAGATTTCGTTGTTGGAGACCGGGAGGGTAACAAAATTTCAGAAATGGAGGAGGGTAGGGGAGAGGGAAAGGATCGAGACAATTCTGTGAAATGTGGGCAAACGTTTGGGGAAGGGGAGAAAGAAACAAAAACAGACAAACGGCGAGAGAAGCTCAGCATGAGGGGAGTTTGTAAAACCAGATGAGAAAGACAGCGGCGGACAGCGAGTGAAGCACACTTTAGAGGGGAAGAGAGAAGCAGAAAGAGGCACAGAGAGTCAGAGGAGATGTCTGTCCCACAGAAATGGGATTGAGTACACCTGCCCCGACGGTAAATTTAGCTCCGGGGGAAATCTGAAAATAGTGGGGGGCGACATTTTAATTTGAAGCTTTCGAAACACTGGCCTTTTATAGGAAAAGAGGTGGAATCTCTTGGAACGAAAATCTTAGCTTTTTAGAATTATTCTAACCTCTTGTAGGACTTATTTTCAGTTAAAGGTCTTTCCCTTGGAGGGTCGAGAACGGTGGTGGGGGGGGAGCGGGGAGTGGGGGCGATGCTGAAGGTAACTGGTTGGCCAGTGATGCTCAGTTTTATCATTTATTTCCGTGTGCTAATAATTCCCATCCATTTCCTCTTTAAATTTTGCTGTTCTTTTCCATTTTCTGTCGCTCTAACCTCGCAACAATTTCATTCTGAGCAACGTACATTTGTTTATGAAACCTATGTTCTGCAGTTAGCCCTGGAAGTAAAAAACGAAACTGAGCTGTTGACAACTGAAAAGAATTTGTCCACGGTCCAGTCTCCGGGACGAGGATCAGAGCTCACGATTTGACAACTTGCTACAGGCTAGTTACAATCGAGATTCACACCCCTGGGCCCCTAATTTCTCATCCTTTCCCATTAACGTGCACTGGCCCTTTCACTAGCAAAACTGGGCTTACTTTATCAGTTTTTAGATTAAAAAAAACTGAACATATAAAAATAGCTCTTGGAAGGAGAGATTGCTGCACGCTGCATAGAGGCAGTCACTTCTCTGTAAGTGTCTCTATCTTTATAAACCAACAGTAAAAAATTGGAATTTGAAGATTTTTGGCAAAGCAAAGTGTTTCAGTTAAATAAAACAAAACGAAAGTTGTCCTTGAATTTGTAAAATAACTGGTTAAATAATTACTGTTGGAAATTGTGACACCAATAATCCGCTTTCCATTTTGTTTCTGTCAATTAAATGTATTAATTAAAGCGAAGACGCTCAAAATGTATCTTTTATTTTAAAAAATCCCTCATTCAGGAACTAATGAAATAGTTGAAATTATTTTTTAAAAAAGCTTAACATCCCGCTGTTGGTTTAGTGCTTGGTTGAAGAAAGGTG